AAAGTAATTCTAATAGGGTTCTAAAAAGCGCCATCGAAATCATTTGTGTCACGGCACGGTGGAATCAGGCTCTCGTCAATTTTTTGACATGTAGAGGTATTGGTATCATCTTAACACTTATTCATTTATCTTGCTTTGGGTGAAATAAAATATCCATTTATCTTGAATACAAGTTGGGATATTTGCGAATGAAGGAGGTGGGGGGTCAGCTGGTTTCAAAGGTAAAGTTAGTGAGAAAATGGCCGCCAACGATTAGTTATATCCTTAGCTTGAAAATCTGTGGAAACTGAACATTTACAATTTTGGTGCCTTCAATCAACGTCTTTTTAGTAAAATCCATAATGAAATGAGTTTTTTAATTGGCGTGAAAGGTGTTGAGCCAAAAAACAAAATTCGACAAAAGTTCAGAAACCTGCTCAGCAGAAAAATACCTGTTTCTTCATTTTGATTATTTTGACGAGTGCTTGATTTCACCACGCTGCCTCACATTTAGATCATTTACTGTTTTAGAGGCAGGCTGCTTCTACCTGTCTATCAGGGTCAATTCTTGCTGAGAGGAATACAACGTTCCAGCAGTCAGACAATAATACTCGATTTAATATTTAGCACAAAAATCCCGAACCAACAATAACTCTCCACACACAGGGAATCGAACTCACGTCTTCCGAAAGAGACGGCGGAGCGCCTGACCGATACACAATAGACTCTGGTCAGGTGTCAGTGGTGTAATGGTCTTATTCTACGCCTTCCAAGAGCAAAACAGGAATGTCTATGTTTCTCATGTTGATAGGAAATAAGACGTTTTAGTTTTATTCAGCACGTTTATCCTTCTGCTCAGAGGTACTCATCGTGGCTCAGGTATGCCCTGAGAGTCCGGCACAAAACAGTCCGCCCCTTGAAGAGACCCAAGTTATGTCAATGTTAATTAAACATAGGCACGTAAAAGGTATCTTTTTGTCCCAAAATATAATAGTGTAACATAATATTCTAGATTTAATAAATAATTCTGCATCGACATGGCTGCAAAATGGGTATTGTCTGAACGCAAGGCAAAGAAGAAACGAGAGTTTATCTATGATTCGAAGCGTGAAGTTACTATTCGGGCTATTCGTGATTCAAAAGTCGAGTGTAAAAGGTCTTTTCTTATTTACAAGTAAGTCCATCAAGAATATTCCACATTCAATATTTGGTATTCGCCACTCTATTGAAATAGTGTTATTTACCTAAGCCAGTGATTCTCAGAGCTCATTTCTCTTTTTATCTCTTTCTCTCTCTCACTCTCTCTCTTTCTTTCTCACTCTCTCTCTTCCCTTGTGCGTGTGTGTGTTTGTGTGCGTGTATGTGTGTGTGTATGTGTGTGTGTGTGGGTATGGGTGTCTGTGTGCGTGCCTTTTCATATGCCCCAGTTGTGGCTCATCATCTATCATTTCAATGGCCTGTGTCAAATCCCTACCACATCCATCCGCCTAATGAGCTAACATCATTAAGCACAAAAAATTATTGTTTTTACTTCAATAATTCTAGATACGATCCTCTATTTTCTACGACGAGTGAAAAAAAATACCAGATAAAAATCAATTATCCGTAAAGATCAAATGGCATTGGAACGGGCAATGACTGGCTCTACCGCGCTTAGAATAGCTGTGAATAGCGACGGAATCGTGAATGTTGAATAGTAGTGTCGAAAGGGCACAGCTATAGTTGTCAGAACCTACTTTGTGACTTTCCAGCAGTTGTTTCGGCTTGTTTGTCGTGCTTTCACCTGCACTTAATGGTCAGTGACGTACCCATTAACAAAACATCAGCCGACAAAACTGACTCATTAGATCATGCCAGAAGCGTTGGGACTTGTGTCACTATCTGAGCTCGTTTCTTCTACAAAGTGAATTCTCTCTGGTTTCCTTTAAGCTCAGCGAAGTATTGGAAGGGGCCACTTGTAGGTCGTTCTTTCCTTTCCGTCTTTTTGTCTGTTTTTTTGTACCCTTGCAGAAAAATGTTTAATTTTTGTGTCTACGTGAGTCTCTTTACTCAAATAAATGAACAAAGCTCTTCAGCTTTCTACCTAGAAATTTAACTTCACTCGTTACGTACTCAAAATATGTCCATGTTTGTGTCCAATTAAGACACAAAGACGTTTGATATTCTCTTTGAATTTCTTTGCTTTTAAGTAGACGAAACTACAAAAGTATAAATGTAAGCAGTTGAAAAGTTACCTCAGACGTGCTATACAGCTCTGATCATGCGCAACTCTTACTTAGTATGAGCGTGATAAAAGAAGCAAAAGAAACCGCTGATATCTGCTGTTACAGTGAGATGTGATATGTCGATAGCTTTGTCTTCTTCTTCTTTAATATGCTGGATGGCAAGCATAGTCAACTAATGTTTCGTCAACTGCAACTGATTTTTTACGTACGTGACCGGTTTTCTTACTTTGTATGTAGGCCCCCTTGCTACCAGGTAGCCTCACTCCCGTTTCGAAGGAATTCGATAATAATAAAAGGGGCTATGTGTCATGTGTCATGGCGTGGTGGAATTAGGTGCGAGTCAATTCTTGGGCATTTGAAGTCACTGGTATCATCTTAAAGTGAAAGCGTGTTCATTTGTCTTGCTATTGAATACAAAATGCCCATCTGTCTTAAATAGAAATCGAGGTATTTCCGATTGAAGGAGGTGGCGGTCGACTGGTTTGGTGACTTTCAAAGCCTGAGTTTCCTTAAAAACAGGAAAATTTACAATTTTATGCATTTTATCTTTTATCAACGGTTTTCAGTATAATCCTTACAGGAATGTTTCTTTAAAAAGACAAAGGCGTTGAACCAAAACGAAGAAGAAAAACAATCGATAAAAATAGCCCAACGGACTGGAAAATCTTGATTCCGTCGTCGATTTCTATCATTTTGACGAGTGCCTGATTTCACTAGAGTATTAGTTTTGGTTGGAATTAATTTTGAATCTTTCCTGGGCTGCGACCAAAACTTACTCTTGTCATTTTTGGGACCACGAAGGGATCTTTATCCGGCAGAACTTGCAAACGGGACCTCACAGAGTTTTCGACTTTATTCGAGAAGAGTAGGTGTTCGATCTTTCCGAAACTGAGATCAGGGATGTAACTGAAAGACAGCAGGCTGTAAGAGGGCGCCAGGAGTAGAAGTAGAAAGAGTCAGGAGATGTACAGAACAGAGAAGCCCAGAGGAGATCGGGGTGGGGGTGGGCGAGTAATGAAGATGAAAGCAGTTTACAGAACAGGACTAGAAAAGAGGACACGAAATGAAGTTTAGAGAATCAGGTGTTTTCGTCGCTCTCAGGTTTCGATATTGGGACATTTTGATTGAGAGACGAGCATTTTCTCCATAGACCAAGAGAGACAGCTTTGTCAAATAAAATTTTTAAAATAAAATATTCGATTAGAGAAACCTTGAAAATACACATACACACTGACAAATACACACACAGACACGCATGCAGGCACGCACGCAGGCAAGCATACACAGGGAAACCTAAAGAGAAACTCACAAAGAGATAGAAAAGGAGATAGAAGTACACTCTCACACACAGACACAGAGTGAGAGAAAGAATTAGAGAAAGATAGAGACAAACAGAGAGAGAGAGAGAGAGAGAGAGAGAGAGAGAGAGAGAGAGAGAGAGAGAGGGGGGGGGATAGAGCAAGTGTGAGAGACAGGCGGGCAGGCAGACAGACAGACAGACAAACAGACCAAAAAGGAGAAAAAGAGAGTGGCTTACAATCATCCCTAGTACAAAATTTAGAAGCTTATCTTCTACCTGTACACCTTTCTACCGGCGGGAAGACCTAACTTGCCTGAACACTTTGGAGTCTTTCTAAAATTATTCTCATGTACCGAGAAGATGAAACTTGAGAAAAGAGTAAATATTTGCCAAGCCTGCGCCCCCGCCTGGTTCTTGAACCCCTCTTGTCTATGACAAGCTTTTGACTGACCTTGAACAGAAGAGTTAATGCTAGGCAGAGAGCAAAGGTACTAAAACGGGGTACGGGGAATGAGGAGTGGGTGGGTTGAGGGTGTGTGTGTGTGGGCGGGGGGGGGGGGGTAAGTGGGGTTGTGTGATGGCAGCTTTGGGACGCCGGTTTGAGCAGCTTAACTTAGTGTCATGGTGACCAGACCGGTGGATAGTCGAGAGGAAGAGAGATTGCTGTGTCCACATTAGAGGATTGCGAATTTTGTTCTATTCTCTCTTGCGATATTTCTCTCTCTTTCTCTCTCTTTCTCTCTCTTCCCCCTCTCTCTCTCTCTCTCTCTCTCTCTCTCTCTCTCTCTCTCTCTCTCTCTCTCTCTCACTCATTCTCTCTCTCTCTTTTTCTCTCTTCCTGTCGCGCTCTCTTTCTATCTCCATCACCAACTCTCTCTTTCTCTCTCACCCTCTCTCTTTATCCCCCCCTCTTTCTTTCTCCCTGATCCCCCTCCCCGCCTTCTCTCTCTCTCTCTCTCTCTCGCTCTCTCTCTCTGTATGTGTCTCTCTCCATCTATCTCACTCCTTCTTGCTTCCTGTCATGTATGTAATTATATTCGTTTTAATAAACAGTCTTTAGCACTTTACACAAATCAATCAGCGCTATTGCCTCGTAACCAGGATACAAAATTCATCATGACAAACGGCGCTGACATATGTCTGGAGGAAGTGCACAACAACAGTGGGAGGCTGCATGGAGGGCGCCACTGGTAGCCTGCCCTGCTTTTCTTTCTGCCAGTTGTTTCTGTCTATCAATCTCTGGCCCTTTAGTAAATCATGATTATTATGTCGAAGTCTTTCTCTTTAGTCAATTCGAAATCCCACCGTAAAAGGCTATATAAATACTCACTTACAAACAATTGGTTTTTTTCCATAATTTTAGTCAAAACTCTTCTCTTTATTTAAGGGGGTTGTTTTTGGTGTATTTTCACAAGTGTGGATTTTTTTCACGTTATCCTATTATTATAGGTATTATAAATTTTCTACACAACCGTATTTCATAATCAAAGGACAACTTTGCTGTATTGTTTTTGCCATCTTTATTGCTTCATGAACAAGTTTCATTAAGTAGATGTTTCTTTAAAAAAAAACACAACAAATATACAATTCTATTGCATTCATTAACATGTGCCTGCAAGCTGGATACGAAAAGCCAAATGAAGGTCATTTTTACATTTGAAAGCATAAGCAATTTTTCAGTGGAAATAAGGCCTTAAAAAGCTCTATAAAGGCTTTCAGATTCTGTTCGTCCGAAGAAACAGATGGCTCCTTTTCTCGCTTCCGTGTCTGACATGGATAAAGATGCTTGGCACGCATTAAAACACATGCATCATATAACTGAAAACCTACTGAAATATTAATTATTATCTTTTTGCAAAGGAAGGTAGGAAGTAAGAAGACTTCGTGAACGACTGTCTGAAGTTTTCTGGGCGCTCTCTTTCAGTTCAATCTTCATTATTTTTGTCGTCCTTTTTTTCCTTTGAAGAGAGGAAATTTATCAGTATCTCAAAATTTCTGCGAAAAGTATATATTAAAAATACAGAAATACCAGGACTTCACTGCAAATCTACCTATAGGGTATTTTCTTATTTTAGAAGTTAGATTCTACGCTAAACGTTATGTCAAGCTATCAAGTGTCTTTAACACGTTCACTATCCAAATTATTTCAGCGCTGTATGTTTACTAAGCCTACATACATGTAGATCGAATGACAGTGAGTTGCCCGTGTACCTACACTTTAAATCATAAACATGACATGACTTAGTTACTTAGTTCAGTCTTCCGCGGCTGTACTGTTTCTGTCAAGAGCCTCAACATCTCGAATTACTGTAGTAGCCCGGGTCGGCCGGATCCTCGCCCCATTGGGCGCCCATGTTGAGGTATTTGTACGTCTGGTTGACCCATGGGTCTGTAAACTGGGGTAGTTCTCGCTGGACCCGCCTGGACAGACATTGACCACTGTTGAGGGCCTGGAAGTGGAAGTAGGGGATGTATCTGAGGTCTTCCTGCTCCTGACCAGCTTTGTGTCTAAGGAATCTGTAGAAAAAAAAACGTTTTCTTCTTTAAAGATCGTTTTGTCTTTGTACAATCTACCGGCGTCTATGGTGTTGAGTCGCAGGCAGGAAACATGAGTTTGACTCCTTAGGGGGGAGGGTTTCTAAAAATCCAGTATTACCGTCTGTCATTCTATATTATTGTTGTTTTAACAGATCTTGTCCTTTCAAGAGTTTGATCTGGTAAACAGAAATTTAAAATGAAAAAGGGGATACAAGTAAAATATCCTCTTCAAATAAGTTGGAGCCATCGCGGCCACATTCATGTGACTGATAGTGGAGATCCTGGATGTTCGTAATAGATTCACTCAGCTGCGAATAAAGGGCTCACGTATACTTTTACCAAACGGGGTACGTTTTTTTTTGGTGGTGGGGGGGGGGGGGTGAAGGGGTGTAAGACTGACCTGATTTTCTCCTCGATTAAGAGCGCATCTCTCGCGTTACTGACCCCGAGTCTCTGAAGCTGAAGGGCATCTATGGTGAGCAACCTTCGGCCGTTGACAAGGTAATGACGAAACATGCTGGCGTACTGCCCCAAGCTATTTGCACAAGCCCAATTGCACACCTGAGGAATAGAAACATTTCCAACAGCTCTTTATAATGTAATTTCAATCCTTGATTGATCAAACTATTTGAGTCATTTTAAAGTTGTGGAAGCAATTGTGAATCAACATATTGATGGTAAACAAAAAGAGTGGCAGAAAATTGATTTCTTCAATACGATCCTTCATCATACACTCATCCTAACCTAAGACTAACAGCTGTAAAGTGATCGAAAGACGACATGAGGAAGACAAAGAAAGATAAATAAAGAAGCCTGACAATGAACGGCCATTCAATGATCAATTAATTTTAAGAAGTCCTGTTACGACTGATTGCAAGTAGTTGGGGGCACCTTCTGCTTCTCTTCTTTTTTTTGTGCTGTTTTAGTGAACCCATCTCGCTTTTATCTGCTCTAAAAGGCTGCAGTTGTGTAAATAATATGTTTCTTTTTCCTTAACTACTCATCCTCACCTCCTTTAAAAAATCCCCACTAAAAAGAAAGGTAAAGGTCATGACAAATGCTGTTTCATTTGTATAGAAAAACACAGAAATAGATCAACCGACCAGGTTTAATATTTATTTGACACACCTAAAGTGACTTAAAAGATATGTGAATGTGCTGATTAGGCAGAGAAGACAAAATGCCTTTTATGTTGAAAATTTAAAGACAAGGATCAAGCAAATTACAACAATAATGAAATATTCATCTAATCTCCTATGTTCTAAATCATGAGATGCTGTCTTGATGCTGCTAGTATACCTAAATGGAATTTAGTTGCTGCAGCAGGGTCCAAAAGCAACAACGAGGGAAGACACTGTCAGTACAAACTGATTATAAAATATTCACTGAGCAACGACGAAAATATGAAAACAACAGAATCGTCTTCTATAAATTATAAATGCAAACAAAGTGTCATTGGAAATGCTGAAAATTTCAGGAAGTCTTAAAAGACTAATACTCAAATTTCTGTTCAATTCATAAATGAAAAAAAAAAAGCAAAAACCTGACAATGATCCCAAAAATAGCAGTCAGGTTTGTCAAGATGGCGCCCAGCCAGTTCTCTCGAGCCATGAGCTCCAATTGCAATTTCGCCTCTAGGGTACAGAAGGTTCTGTCTCACTGCCCCATGGTAGCTGACGAGAGGGTTGCCCTCACACTGTGCCCACGAGAGTGCCACGGACATGGTGAGAGAGTGGGGGGAGGGGGATGGTTTTCCCCTCGTGATTTGGGGGCCTGAGGAAAGGATGGAACAGGAGTCTTGGGAAGGGGGGGGGGAGTACATGATGTTTTGTTCTATTGTTTGATCTGTCAGAACTTGTTCCTGTGATGAGTCAATGACATGCCAATGTTGGTCTTTTGAAGCCCTTAAAATATACACGACTGAATTGGAGATATGGCAAAGGTGACTTACTAAGTTTCGAGAAATCACAAAGTTATTACTTTTTTAAAAGATTTGAAATATGGTTTACTGAAAGATACATTTGGATCATTTCAAGTACGGATAGAAAAGTTTCCAAATTCTTTCTCAGGAAAATGTGTCGTATTTTTGTCGAGAAGCTTATATTGTACATATTGTGAGTCAAAAATCTGTTAACAAAATAGTTACTCTTCTCAAAAAGATCTAAACTACGCATTTTGTCTTCCTGAAAAGAAAACCCCCCAGTAATAGTCCTCCATACCACAGGATGATACGTTTACAGTTTGGAATAGGGACGATGGTGGGGTTTTAAAACAAAAATCTAACAGACATGAAAGTTTTACTTGTAGGCTTTGTGAGAACAAAGTTAGCCCGAACGTTCCCACACGCAGATACAAATATTGCTAAATTGAGCCAGGATTTTATAGATACTAATACCCTTTACTGAAGATTGTGTTTACTTTCTATCAAAGAATTCGTATTCAGCCATTGTGCAAGTTCGTGCTACGCATTACTTATTTCTAAATAAATACACCCATTTCAATTTCACGAGGAAAACCCAGTTTGAATAAAAGAGATATAATTACAAGAACCTGTGGCTTAAGATCCTTTACTACAATTTGGTTGACCCAGCTCAAAAGCATCCAAACTGCACAAATTTTCAGGGCGATGCCACAGGCGATTTTGACGACGCTTGAGAGGAGAACTATCTTGTAGTACATAATGATATTTCTGTGGCTTACGTAGCTACTCACTTTTCAGTCAGGTGAGCTCTTATTCAACAAGTAAGATCCCGTCTGATTTTCTTAGGGAGTTATCGGAAACAGGGAAGGGGGGTTGCTGGTATGACTAGTGAGTGTTACACATTTGAATTAACCAACATGTGTCTTGTTGGGCATTAAACACATAATTATATTGTTAATAGATCCCGAGTAATGAAAAGGCGTCGTTCTCTTTTTCTCTTACAATTGCTCAACACGACACATGATTAAAGGGAAGTAATAAGATATATGATGAGATCTGTTTTCTAGATGGAGTTAAGTTTCCTATCTAAGAAACATTCGCATTCAGGTAGATTTATCCAATTTTTTAAATTTGTCTGTTTGTATTTATCTTTCTCAGTGCATCATGGTTACTTTTGATTCTGCTGCTGAAACTTTATAGTTACTAACTCAACACATCGCTTCCAATGTGTCATGAAAAAATATCTTATTTCAACGAAAAAAATCTACACCTAGGGAAAGTTTCATAGTGAGCAATACAATTTTACATTAGAGGGGGGGGTGGGGGTGGGGGGGACAAGGGAGGGGGAGGGTGGTGGGAGAGGACACACACACACACACACACACACACACACACACACACACACACACACACACACACACACATGCACGTACCTGGTTGTCTGTAGCCGGGTACCACTTCCCACCTGAGTGAATTGAAGAACATTCATGCTAAATGATTTTCCCCAAGAACACCACGTCGGCCTCTGACGAGACTCAAACCCACTCTACGGTTGCATGTCTAAGAGCCTTACTTCGCGGCCAGAGATTTTCTAAATTATAATTTAATTTTTACTTTTCGTTTGTCTTTCCATTGATCCCTTTTACTTATTATGTATCAAAATTATTCAAATAAAAAATTACAGAAATAAAACACTCCCTAACACTTCAGATATTCAAATTCATTCTTAATTTGAAAGATTTTTTGATTAGTAAAATAAAAATGCTATTCCTGTCGCCTTGCAGTTGAGGCCAGTAAGCATGGGCATTGAGCACATGTTCTACACTAAAATTTAATTTAACAGTGGGTGAACATCGCTGTGGTCAAAACGTTATTGCTACTGCACCAGGGGATAGAACTGCTAAAAAGTTGGGCTACGTATTCTGTCGAGTTATTTCCCTTGGTGCATATTCGTGAAAAGGTGCTAATCTTGCCATGACAGTGACCATAAGGTTTACACACAAAACGAAGACTGGAAAGTGGTGATTTTTGTTTTGAAGGAGGAGGTGTCAAGTTACAGAGAGAGAGAGAGAGAGAGAGAGAGAGAGAGAGAGAGAGAGAGAGAGAGAGAGAGAAAGAGAGAGAGAGAAAGAAAGAAAGAGAGAGAGAGAAAGAGAGAGAGAGAGAAAGAGAGAGAGAGAGAGAGAAAGAAAGAGAGAGAGAGAGAGAGAGAGAGAGAGAGAGAGAGAGAGAGAGAGAGAGATTTTCTAATGTTTTATAGGAGAGTGAAATGAAGCTGTTGATA